ATTATTGTTATTATTGATATTGTTCCTACTCCTACTTTCCCCTCTATTGAATCTACTGTGTATTCCTTTGTCACCAGCAGCCAGTCTCCCCAGACTTGTATGGCTTCAGCAGTGAGGTGAACGTCAAAGAGGAGTCGGACTGCCTGCTCCTGCCCGCCCCGCACCACCACCACCTCCAACAACACCAACACCAGCCCTCTGTGGTCGCCGGCTTCCCCTCATCCCCACAGCAGCAGCAGCAGCTGCAGCAGAACTACTTTATCGAGCCGTCATGTCTGCCCCTGACGGGCACCATCTCGTCCCCGTCGCATTATTCGTCGTCGGCGTCGCCGTCGGCGTTGTCGTCCCCGTCCTCCGGCTCCTCCTCCCCGACCTCGTCCACGTCCTCCTCCTTCTTTCACTCGCCTCCCCTCGGCCAGCAGAATGGGTTTCTCAGCGGTGGCTCGGCGGGTGTCCAGTTCCCTTTGCAGCAGAAATCGTATGTGCTGCCCAGCTCCACGGTTGCGTGCTCCTCTTCCACTCCGCCGCTGGCAGCACCCTCGGGCCAGCAGCGGAATTACATCGTTGTGCCCAATGTCGCCTCGGTGGAGAATGGGGTGGGCGGGGCAGGAGGCATGCTCCAGCAAGTAGGGGGCGTGGCCAAGCCGATGGCAGCTGTCAATATCAACGCTATTCTCAGCAGTAAGATCAAGATCCAACCCAAGCCAGGGTCAGAGGTCGCACCTACTCAAGGTCAGTAGAGCAGGAGGGGTGGTATTGTTCTGTGCATTTGATTTCTAATATTTGGCAGTTTTGGATCCCTTAATTATAGTATGAGAGGGAGAGTGCATGAATTTTTGTCAAGATTGTCCCATGGATTCAGGTGGTTTTTAAAATGGAATGACAGTGTGACTCAGTGTGACTCTCTCTGTGTCTCTCTCTCTCTCTCTTTGTTTCTCTCTCTGTTTGTCTGTCTCTCTCTTTCTCCTTCCCCGATGTCTCTCTCTCTCTCCCCCTCTCTCCCTCCTTCCCCGATGTCTCTCTCCCTCTCCCCTTCTCTCCCTCCCTTTCTCCCTCCTCTCCTCTCTCTCTTTCTTTCTCCCCCCCCCTCTCTCTCTCTCTCTCTCTCTCTCTCTCTCTCTCTTTCTCTCACTCTCTCTCTTCCTCCCTCCCTACCTCCCTTTGGGATTTCATGTTAGGATTTACTTTGTCACATTGTGAGCTGGCTTCTCAGTCAATCAATCTGCCCTTGAAACTTATTGTAATTTTTTTTTTTTTTAGAGCACAAGAGTGCAAGTGTGTTAAAATAAAAGTGTGTAATAGCAGACTCTGTGACTGTCGTCTTCTCGATGGAATATGGCGTGATGGCAATGTTGGTCCGAAATTGTAAAATAGTAAAGGTTTAACACCCCTATCAACACTGTTAGGTCGTTTAAGAGTCGGGACCTCAGAGTGTAGCGTTCATCTCCGAAATGACCGAGCCTAGTTGGAAATTCATGTAAAGTTCCTTTCCCAAGGACACAACTTGACCTGAGGTTTGAACCCCCAAGCCCATAATCTCACGATTACGAGTCTGGTAGCCAAACCACTAGGTGACCAGCGCCACTTGTGTTGGTCTGTCTTTGGTGATCTGAAGTGACAATCAAATAATAAGCAGGTGGTAGGAGGGCATCGGTGGTAGGTCCTGTTTCTTCTCTTTCCTTCTGTTGTTTTTTTTTGTCAGTCTTTCTTTTTCTCAGGACTTATGGACCATTAAAATGTGTCAATGCGTTTCTCTTTACCCTGACAAACAAACATAAACAAACAAAATCAAATAAAATATAGCTGTCGGTTTTGTTTTGTTGCTTCAGAAGATAGTCTTCTTTTATTGTGTTGCTCTACATTTTATGTCCAACACGATACTGAAATAAAGATAGTCTTCTTTTATTGTGTTGCTCTACATTTTATGTCCAACACGATATTGAAATGACGTGGGCCCATTTTCATTCTTGTCAAATATATTGAAATTTTATTTTTTGTTTGTTATTCGCCTCTCTCTCGTGGCAGTCAGTGTTGTTCTTTCACATTTCAGAAATGTTTTTGTGCTTTATTGGTCTACATTTTGTGTCCTGTGACAATATTCGAATGGCTTTTCCTCTGTTTATTTTTTAATGGGTTAAAAAATTTTTCAAAAATTTTTAAATAAATGTAATGACAAATTTTTGGTGTCATTTCTTTTTAAAACTGGGATGATTTTTGTTTTTTGTTTGTTTGTTGTTTTCTCCTGTAGGTGGCAGTCAGTGGCTGACCACTTCGGCCACCGTCGTCCCTTTCTCCGGCCAGCCCATCACGGCGGGCACTGTGATCAGCGCACCGTCCTCCATTGTCTCAGCCAATGGCATCACCTCCATCACAGATGTGAGTACCCCTCGAGGCAGCCAGAGAATTTCTTTTACCGTCTCGCGACCTCAGTGCTTTCTTGTCCTGTCTCCATTTTTTTTTTTACCTTGAAAATTGTCTTCTTCTTAGCTCACTCTTTGTTATGAACTGGTTTCGCTGTTATTAGCGGGTGGTTGGTGGGCGCTCTGGTGTGGTCTGCTTCTTCTTTCCTATCAAACATCTATCGTCCTTATCTCCCTTTCTTCTCTTTTATGTTTGTTACTCTCTTGTAACACCTCTAATCTTCTAGCGCTCGTATGACCTTATGCAGTTGCGAGCGCCGTAAAACCTCTACTAAAACAAACAAAAACGCTGTTATTGAAAATGGAGATAGGACAAGAAAGCACTGAAGTGGCGATCTGTGATACTTAAAACAATAGGTGAAAGGGCATTTGAACATAAAGACCCCCAAGGTCTGGGATGCTTTGCCAAGTGGTTTAATTAAGAGGGATCAAATCCTTTGATTCAATCAAATGTCAGCTGAAGTCTTTTGTGTTTTTAAATTGGTAAGATAAATATTTAGAGAGATTTCTTTTTATTCACAACACAACGTTTTATGTTACTGTTGTACTGTATTGTAAAGCGCTCAATGCCCGTGTAGTTTGATCGGGGTTGAGTGCTATATAAATGTAATTTATGATGATGATGATGATGATTATTATTGTCTTTGTCTGTTCTTGCTTTTTTGGAAATGTATCGTTTACTGCGTGTCGATAGTTGAAATTCCGATGTCAGTGGGTGGCTATGATCACTAAGCATTATTTCTGCCTTTTTTAAAAAGTTTGTCTTACGTTTGTTGTTTTATGTATTTAAAAGAATGTTGAAAATATTTTCTAGGAAAAGTCATTCAAACGAGCTCAAAGGATTATCAAGAACAGAGAATCTGCAAGTCTGTCCCGTAAAAGGAAGAAGGAGGTAAGTTTTCTTACCAGAGTTACTTTTATTGTTGTTTTTTCTCCATATTCTGTTGTAACTTTTGTAAATTAGGATACTTTCTAATAATGATTGAATTGCCCATGTACTGTTTTATTTTGTCCTGATTTTGCCTCAACAAAAGTAAATAGTTTTTGCTTAATCTGCACATTTAAGTGGAGGGCACTGCTGGTAGGTCTCGCTTCTTTTTTGTGGTCTATTTGGCTGTTTATGGGGCAATCTGGCGTGTTCATCAGTGGTAGGGGGGGTTAGGCCTAGCCTATTGTATTGTTTGGCGCAAGTGTATAAAGCAGAGAGAGTGTGTGAGTAAGGGGGAGACAAGTGCAGTCTGGATTACTACAGCAGGGTAGAGGGAAGAGCTGTATCGAGGCAGAGGAGGCCTGCAGAGATTTTGGCGTGAGGAAAGGGGGAATGGCTGTTTAGAGCCCCAGTCTAATTCTGTGCTTTAGTTGTGAGGTTCCAACGCATCGGGGCCCAACCGCAGAGGAAAGTATCACAGGATCTAGAGAGAGAGATAGAGACTGGTTTGGCTTATCCTTGTAACTAAACACATTTCCGCAGGCAACCAAAAGGTTAGTGTTGAATATTCTTTAATTTTTTTCATGTACAAGTAACTATGTTTTTCTTTCCATCTGTTGTTTTTTTGTTCCCTCTGTTTCGATCTTTCACGGCACTAAATGGCTGTGGGTGGTTGGAGGATACCCTGGTGTGGTTTGCTCCTTCTCTCCCATCAAACATCTATCGTCCTTATCTCCCCTCCTTCTTTTTTATGTTTGTTACTCTCTTGTAACACCTCTAATCTTCTGGTGCTCATATGACCTGATGCAGTTGTGAGCGCCGTAAAACCTCTACTACGAGGGGCATACCAAAAGTTTTTTTTACCTGACCATGAAGGAATCAAGGTAGAAAGCTGGAATTTGGTGTGAAAGCCAACGATCATCTTCATAGAATGCTTGTAAAATTTTGGGAATTTCAGATTACTGGTTTTGCAACCAGCGCACTGTACGTGAATGGGGGTATGTTGTTCTCCAGTTTCAACATAAAAATGGAGAAAATTGAGCGCAGGGCAGTAAAGAAGTATTTGTTCTTGCAAGGCAAGCAACTACAGGATATTTTTACGGAGATGCATGCCGTATATGGAACTGATTGCCCATCCTACGCGGTGATAAAAGTTTGGTGTACAAAAAGTGATGATGAGGTCAAAGAAGCAGTAGAGGGCTGGTTTTCTGACACAGAGAGGGCCCTCTATTCTCAAGGTCATTTCAAGGTCATACACAGATAGCAAACATGTATAACTCTGGGAGACGACCACATAAAAGAAAAACTAAGCTTAGTACCAAGTTTCAGCGTTCCACCTTTATTCCTTCTTGGTCAAGTAAAAAACTTTTGGTATGCCCATCGTAAAACGGAAAAACTGAGCATCCTAGAGTAACTTGTTTTTTGTTTTGTTTTGTTTGTTCAGTACCTGAGCACCCTCGAGGAACGTCTCCAGCAGTGCCAGGATGAGAACCAGCGGCTGGTCCGTGAGAACCAGGGGCTCAAACGACTGGTGGGCTCCCTACAGCAGGAGGTAGGACCGTCACTTGTGTTTCTGTGTTTGTGAGGTGTGCTGACAAAATCAATTGAAAGTCTGTAAATCTGACTCCAGTGTCGATTTTCGGTCGATATATCTATTCTTGGAAGGCGAGAACAAAAATTACGTTTGATCACTTGGTATCACTATGTGTCGTGTAATTGTGTGAATGCCCTTGTTTCTAGAACTTGGGTTGTTTTGGAAGTGTTTATCATAGTCGTTTATGGACGTTGTTGAATTCGGAAGCTGCTCCTTTTTAATAAACTTTTATTCAGTGTCTTAAATAATCTTTTTGTTCTAAATGGAGCTTATAATCCATACCTTTATTACCCTTCTTTGTCATGAAAGTGGTGGACTTGTTTTCACTGGGCTAGCAGCAGGCCTGACATTTTTTTTTTGCGGTTGTAACTTTATGGAGTGTTGTGCGAAACGCCAGGGCTTATTGATTTTTGATAAAGTATTGTTCTACTTCAGAGTCGGATGAGGCGCATGAATAATTTACTTACAGGACTGGGACAAATAGATCCAATCAATGAGTTGAGGAGGGGAGATCAATCCATGATCTTCCAACTTAGAACACAACATGTACCCCTCAACCAACATCTCAACCGAATTGGAGTAAAGCAGTCTGCTGCCTGCCCACTATGTGACTACCCCTCAGAGACAGTGGAACATCATCTGTTCTTCTGTAGAAAACTAACTGATTTACTAAGGGGATGTTTTCTTCCCAAGCTACCCCACACATCTAACTGCTTCTACTCCTCAAGACAACAATTAGAACAGACATGCAACTATTACCGAATGGCATCATGCAGAAGAGTTAACACTCAAATGCTATTGGATCGCTAACAACAACAACAGCAACGACTGGGACAAATGGGTGCTAGGAAAAGATCAGGATATTATAGGTTCTTGAGAGTATATGAACAGAGAAATGAGTGGGGAACATGATTGTTGATATCTGTTTCAGATGTGGCATTTGTAGAAGAAGAATTGTTGTACCGAGACAAATTGATGTCCAAATTTTGCGGGGAATGATGTCTTTGTGATCAGTGGCTTGATATTTGAGCTGAAGTTGTGCTGTTATCAAGGTCTGGAAATTTCTGTAGTATGATTTTGAGATGAATGGATACAGTGAGGTGTCCTTGAGTAAGATGTGAAGATATGTGCAGATTGTGGAATGTGATATGTGAGGCAGCGTGGTGGAATCAGGCTCTCGTCAAAATAATCAAAGTGAAGAAACTTGCATTTTTCAACAGGTTTGTGAATTCTTTCCAAATTTTTGTTTTTTGACTCTACACCTTTCATGCCCATTAACGAACTCATTTCTGTATGGCTTTTTCTGAAAACGTTGGTTAAAGGCACAAAAAATGTAAATTTTCAGTTACCACGGACTCTTAAGCAAAGGAAATAACTAATCTTTGGCGGCCATTTTCTCACTAATTTTACCTCTGAAAACAGGTGACCCCCACCCCCTTCATTCTCAAATATCTCGACTTGTATTCAAGATAAATGGATATTTTTTAAAACACAAATAAAGACAAATGAACAAGCTATAAGATGATACCAATAACTCTACATGCCCAAAAGTTGACGAGAGCCTGATTCCACCACGCTGCCTCACATATTATGTGTTTGTAGTGTGTTGCGCAGCACATGACATTTAAAAAAAGTCAATTTTTGCATTGCAAGTGGTTGCGAGCCCAATTTCTGCTCTGGGATAAATATAATGGTATTTAATGGTTTATTTTATTTTTTTATTTCTCTTGTCTGACAGAACTCACAGCTGAGGACTTCCAGCGGAGGCCACAGCACGGCCAAGAAAATGGGACTGATGTGCCTTGCCCTGTTTTTCACCTTCAGTCTCTCCCCATACAGGTACTGCCGTCGCACACCCAATAAGTTTCTCTGACCTTCCTTCTCAGCTGTTTTATGTCGGCCGTCTCCAAGTCTCTCCCTGTAAATTGTTACAGCTGCAGCACACTTACTTCTCCTGACTGCGACTGTGGGTGGTTGGCGGGTGCTCTGGTGTGGTTTTGGAATTTCTTTCCTATCAGACATCTATCGTCCTTTTCTCTCTTCCTCCTTTTTTGTGTTTGTTACTCTCTTGTAACACCTCTAATCTTTGAACTAATATTTGAGGCAGCTTGGTGAAATCAGGCGCTCGTCAGAATAATGAAATCAGAGAAATCTGCATTTTTCCGTAGGTTTTGCAATTTTTTTTCAATTTTTTTTTTAGTTCAGCACCTTTTATATCTATGAAAAACACATTTTTGTGAAGATTTCAATGGAAAAAGTTGATTTAAGGCACAGAAAATATAAATGATTAGTTTCCAAGGTCTCTAAAGCTATGTAAGACACCAGAATTTGACCTACATTATCTCGGTAATTTCACCTCTGAAATCAGGCGACCCCCACCTCCTTCAATTGCAAGCATCTCAACTTGTGTTCAAGATACATGGGTAATTTTTTAAATCACAAGCAAGACAAATGATCGAGCTTTAGAATGGTAACTATAAGTCCATATACCCAAAAATTGACGAGTGCCTGATTCCACCTCGTTGTAACGCATATGACCTAATTATGTTGCAAGTGCCTTAAAACTGACTAAATCTAATATGACTGCTGTCTGTGCTAATTGGTATTCTGCCATTAAAACATTAAGGACGTCTTTTCTGATCATTTGACAATGCTCAAAGACGTACGGTTTCGTTGTACTTAATAAACCCCAAAAAACGTAACTTCCTAATTCATAAAGATGTTTTGATTCTTTACCTGAAACTGTAAAAAGGAGGCAACAACTTGCAAACTATGAGCAAATTTATATTCGCTGGCTGGGTGCAAGAACCCTACAAGTGCCAATTTGCAAATTGACACTTGTAGGGTTCTTGCACCCAGCCAGCGAATTATGTGTTGTAGATTGAAGAATGAGTTTAGTCAGTCAGGAATGAGTTATAAGAGACAGTTACGTCAAAACATTTGGCATGTTTTATTTACGAGTAGTGACCTGTAAGATAAGATAAGATAAGATAAGATAAGATGAGATAGTACTTTATTATCCCAGAGGGAAATTTTCCTTGGCTGTACAGGACCGTAAAAACACATGCAGGTATACATAAAAAATTTAAATCATATATATTACTCTCATTAAAGTTCAATATGAATGGAGAAGTAAAGTTGACAAAATGTACATTTACATCAAATGCATCATTCAACCACATGCAGGAATTTAAATACTAGACCTTTGGAGTTATATACAGATACATACTCTAAGAGCAACACACATATATGGTAAGAAAAGAATTCAGGGATTTCTGTAGTCTTAAACAGTACCATTGAACGAAAAAATGTCGGTGTAATTTTCAGAACATCTGAATTTTCACATTATGTCTTTTTAAAATATCAGGAGGGTAATGCTCCAGAAGAGATTCTCTCCTTTTTCATTTTATATTGCGTTGTTGATTTTCATAAAGAGATGCAATTATCAATAATGGCCATTTAGTGCAGGGGGAAAAAATGAGGCAGATAGTCAGAAACGACGGTAAGAAAGAAGAGAAAAAAAGTAGGATCTATCGGTGGCGCCCTTCGACCATCCGCCTTCATCAATGGTTTGATTGTATGTTCCAGTCTCATTCCCTCCTCTGACCTGGCCGTCTCGTCACCTCATGCAATCCCCGCCTCACATCACCTCGGTCGTCAGCTGCTGTCAGTGCCAGACGACAGTCCCATGCCATCGTCGTCGTCATCGTCTTCTTCGTCGTCATCTTCATCGTCAGTGCCGGGGGGCCAGCAAGGTGATCCCAAGGACGCCTGGTCTCGCCTGACAGAGAAGTCTTTGCTGCTGCGGTTCGGGGAGGAGCTGGGTCTTCTGGCAGAGAAGATGAATGTGACGGAGAGGCTGGGCAATATGTGCCCTATGTACTTCAATTCTACTGAGTCTATCAGGTGTGTGTGTGTGTATGTGTGTGTGTGAGTGTGTGTGTGTGTGTGTGAGTGTGTGTGTGTGTGTGTGAGTGTGTGTGTGTGTATGTGTGTGTGAGTGTGGGTGTGTGTGTGTGTGTGGGTATACGTGCGTGTGTGAGTGTGTGCACTTGTCTGTGTGTAGGTTTGTATGTGTGTAGGGTTGTGTGTGTGTGTGCTTGGGGGGGTTTAAAGATGTGTGTTCATATGTGCTTGTGTACAAGTTGGTACGTGTATGTTTTGAATTGTTTGTGCTTTTTGTGTGTGTGTGTGTTTATGTGTGTGTGTATGTATGTGTGTGTGTGTGTGTTTGTGTGTGAGTGTGTGTGTGTGAGTTTGTGTGTTTGTGTGTGTGTGTTTATGTGTGTGTGTTTATGTGTGTGTGTGTTTGTCTTCGTCAATCTAGTTTTATTGAACTTGATTTTGAAACATTCTAACTTCTCCTCACTGGCATTTGCCGCTGAGGTAAAGCAGCTACCTCAGTTCCTCATTTAATTGTTATTTTTTTTGCCACTTTGTTCTCTGTTCTCTTTTTATTTTCAGTCTCTTTTATAGGTGAAATAGTTATTGACACAATGAATGACCTGTGTGCTGGTTCCCTTTTTTTACTCAATGTGTCTGTAGGTAACTGGTGGGCACGTATCATTTTTATCTCTCCTTCTTTTCTTTGTATGTTATTCCTTTATCTTAAACACTTATATGACCTATATTATTTGATTACACCGAATCAGTGTGCCAGGATCTGGACAATAAAGATGTATCCGTGCGTGGTTAGTGGGTGCTCTGGTGTGGTTTGCTTCTTCTTTCCTATCAAACATCTATCGCCCTTATCTCCCCTTCTTCTTTTTTATGTTTGTTACTCTCTTGTAACACCTCTAATCTCCTGGCGCTCATATTACCTTATGCCGTTGCGAACGCCGAAAAACCTCTACTAAAACTAAAAAAAAAAAAGATGTATCTTATCTTTGTCTGTTTGTGTTGCGAGTGCTGTAAAAACTCTGACTAAAACTAAAAAATAACCCCAACCTATGCTGTATGTCTATGCGCAGACTTGCGGAACAGCTGAGGGGCTGGATGATCAGCCAGGAAGAGGAAATGAAGAACAAAGAGAAGAAACGGCAGAGGAAGAAACAGAAGGACTACCTACCCCTGCGTCGCTTCGGCGGCTCCGTGTCAGGGGGAGGCTACGCTCATGGTGTGAACGGAGTGCCGGCGGTGGCCGAGGGCAGCTACCCTGTCCAGGTGTTCAGCGGTGGCTACGACGCCAGGCAGCAGTTTCTCAACGCCATCCCGAGACGGAACGATACCTTCTACGTGCTGTCTTTCAGCACGGTAAGTACGCTAAGGCGATCTTTATGGTCTGTTCGGTTTGTTCTGCTTATAATGCTTTAACTCCTTCTCTGCGGCAAGCCGTTCCCAGCAGCTCTCGGTCGAAACCGTTGGCAGCGGCACAGGCGCATTCTTCTACGACGAATTCGATGTCGAATTACTTTTCGGCAACTGTGGAAAACTGGACTCTTTTACTAGGAGTTGAGTCTCTCAAAGTGGATCTAGGTTCACTTGTTTGATGAAACGACCAATTTAGTGACGTGTATGTCACTTTAACACATTACGCCCTAAGGGCCTGGACGGGAAGTCCATTGTTAGATCCTAAGCAAGGGGAAAGAACCCACCTCCTGTGAATACTAGCCTTTAAAAAAAAAAATTTTAAAAATACTAAACAAATTCCAAAAATCCTGAAAAAATAAAAGTTAAAAAGAAAACTGAATGTAGTTTCAGAAAAATATAACTTTATGTATGCGCAAACTGTTGGAAATGTTATAACTTTAGTTCAATCGGGGTGTCCGACCCGTCACTCTCACTCTCAGCCTCGCGGTCGGGCCCTAGATCTAAATTCTAGATTTTCTCCGTCTGATCAATCGGAATCGCCCCTTACTCTTCCTACAACGTTTTCATCAAAATCTGAGCCATCTGATTTGTCACATGCTCGTTTTTGCTCAAATCCATCGTTATTTCCGTTTTCGAACTCAATTGTGTCGCTTTTCTACAAGTCGAGACACTTTCGAAGTGTCGGTAACGCGATCGCACTTCGATCAGCTCTAATACTAAAACTACTGGCCCGAAAAATTTCGTTTCGGTATCAAACGAAAGAAGAAACTTTTTGCTATACTATGCAAATCAAAATCCCGGCCCCAGAGTCTCGTCAAGGCGAGACTTTCGTTTCTAAAGACGCTGGGTCGGCGCGGGCGGTTCCGGGCGAGTCAGGGTGGAGCGCGTAAGGGAATTCCCGGGCGATCTCGGGCGAGTTAGGGTGTAATGTGTTAAGTAGTTTAAGTTTTCGTACCAAAAAAGGGCCCCAGCGTTGTGGGTTTACCCCTCCTCATGTTGCCTTACCCCACTGCGTTGTCCTCATGTTGCCTTACCCCACTGCGTTGTCCTCTCCTCATGTGTGTTGTCCTCTCCTCATGTGTGTTGTCCTCTCCTCATGTTGCCTTACCCCACTGTGTTGTCCTCTCCTCATGTTGCCTTACCCCACTGCGTTGTCCTCTCCTCATGTGTGTTGTCCTCTCCTCATGTGTGTTGTCCTCTCCTCATGTTGCCTTACCCCACTGTGTTGTCCTCTCCTCATGTTGCCTTACCCCACTGTGTTGTCCTCTCCTCATGTCGCCTTACCCCACTGCATTGTCTTCTCCTCAGGATTACTTCCTGGTGCCGGCTACCGCCCACAACAAGACCATGAGGCCCCGCATGTCCCTGCTCATGCCCGTCTTCACTCAGAGCATGAACGGTCAGTTAGAGTTTGTTTGTTTTAATAGAGGTTTTACGGCGCTCAAAACTGCATAAGGTCATATGAGCGCTAGAAGATTAGAGGTGTAACAAGAGAGTGACAAACATAGAAAAGAAAAAGGGGAGATAAGGACAATAGATGTTTGATAGGAAAGAAGGAGCAAACCACACCAGAGCACCCGCCAACCACCTACTCAGTAAGAGTGGGTGGGGACACGTTTGTGAAGTTTGTGTAGTGGTCAGTTAACCCCGGCCCAAGTCTTTGGGTTTGAAATGATTTGGGAAATTGTTTAGGCTTAACTAACGCCACTTGCAATACTGTAAGGTCCTTCAAGAGGCAGGACCTCAGAATTTAATGTCCATCTCTGATAAGACCAAGCCAGGTGGAAAAATTTGTGTATAGTTAACTGTCATATAGCTATCTGTCATTTCACTATCTGTCATTCTACTATTTGTCACTCAACTGTATAATTTTACCATCTGTCATTTAACTATTTGTCATTTAATTATCTGTAATTTAATGATTCGTCATTCATCTATCTGTTGTTGTAATCTCGTCATTTAACTATCTATCATTCAACCATCTGTCATTCAACTATCTATCATTCAACCATCTGTCATTTAACTATCTATCATTCAACCATCTGTCATTTAGTGGGCGGTTGGCGGGTGTTCTGGTGTGGTCTGCTCCTTCTTTCCTATCAAACGTCTGACGTCCTTATCTCACCTCTTTCTTTTTTGTGTTTGTTACTCTCTTGTAACGCATAATCTATTCTTCGGCACTTATATGACCTTATTGTGTTGCAAGTGCCGTAAAACTCTTACTAAAACTAAAAAAAACTAATCTGTCATTTAACTATCTATCATTTAACCATCTCTCACTTAACTATCAGTAATTTAACCAACCCTCATTTAACTGTCATTTAAGCATTCGTCATTTAATTTTCCGTCTTTTAACGATCTGCCATTCAACTGTGCGTCATTTAACTCTCCGTCATTAAACGATCTGTCATTTAACGATCCATCATTTAACTACATGTCTTTTGAGTATCCGTTATTTAACCGTCTGTCGTTTAATTACCCATCATTTAACTACCCGTCATTTGACAATCTGTCATATAACTATCAGTCATTTAAATATTTTTCATTTAACTGTCCTTTATGTAACTATCTTTCGTTCTGATCTCGTCTCTGGCAGAGAGTCATGGCTCTTCAGAGGACAGCATCGGCATGATGCAGATTGACTGCGAGATCATCAACACCAACCGCATCCATGTCCAGCGGTCGGCCTTCCCGAATGACGCCGTGTTCAACTCCACCTACCACCACTGGCGCAACGACGGCCCCACCACCCCCTCCTCTTCCTCGGAAGGTGGACCCGCCGGCTTCAACAGCAGCAGCAGCAGCAGCAGTGGTGGTGGCGGGAGCGGTGCTGGGAGTAACACCCATGGCCATGGTAGAAATTCGTTCCAGAAGAATAACCCCGGACGGTTAGGGAAGAAGGACCAGGACAAGAAGCCTAGGGCAGACAACAGCACGGGCAGCTTCCTCAAAAATAAAAGTCAAGAAAAGTACTGGGAAAAGATTGGTAAAAATGCGAGATAGATTTTCTTGTCGTTGATATGTATCCTAAATGCTAAAAATAATATTTATGATTATGATAATACTGGAAATATTGATCATAATAGTATGTCTGTTACCTTCCTCCTCCTATGCACAGCGGTGCATGCCTGGGGAGAGTGGAGGGAAGTGACTGGTAATGCCATCATGCTCAGCTTTGCTTTAGCTGTGATGTACCATTTTGAAGTGGTCTGCTTTGAGACTTTGGTTTTTAAAGGAGATGATGCCAAGCCTGAGATGGACTTTTGGTTCAGAGTAACATCTCTGGTTGGGAAAATAAAGGCAAAGTCTGGGTGATGAATGTGGGAAAATGTCGCTGGATCAAAGGCATTTGTAGGCTTCTGAAATGTCTGAAATAGAAATGTCAGACTTTCCCTTCAGGCCTTCTGTTATTTGAACGTAAATCCTATGGTTTTATTGGGAAGAATTCTGAGGAAGAATTTATGGAAAAAGGTAAGCTTGTGGTCTACCTTTTGACATAAGAAATAACAACTGTTAGGTCAGCGGGAAGTCGTCATAGCTCATCAGAGATGCTCAGACTCAGAAAGTTATTGGGTTTCTGGTAGTAGTTCTGAATAGTTACTTTCTTTTGATTTTTGTTGGTTCCAGTGAGGAAATTTGGTTCACAATGGCTTACATTCTCACATAAAAAAAACCTACGTACAAAATATTTCAACGTTGCATAATACACCATGTCACACGAGCACAGACAGTCAAGGAGCCATCACGTTTTTCCCAGCCAAAAGTGCTGAACTAAAACACCTGCCAAAAGCATGCTGTGTCCATGCTTATGCTCTGGGGAAGGACTAACTAATCTACTGCATGGCAGGCTGTATTTTTTTGCTCTTTGCTGAACGCCTGCCTTATTGCTATGCATTGTTGAGGCCAAAAACAACTGCTCTGCCGTATTCAACACTCCATTTGGTTGAGGGTTTTTGTCC